TCTGACCAGCTCCCCCTGCCCCTCGCCCTGCCTGCCTTTCCTGGCCCTTTTACAGAGGGAGAAGGGAAAACAGGCCAGCCAGCTGGGGGCGCTGTCCAGTCTGACCCCCAACCGAGGGGCCCAGGCCAGAGTCCCTTATCTGGCCCACGGCGGGGGGGCTCACCCCTGTCTTCCCCTCCCCACACTTGTGGGAAATGCAGCCCATGGCCCCTCTAGCAAGTGATCCCGACCAGACTACAAGGGCCAGGAGGGGGCAAAGGGCCCCAGGGAACTAGAGGCAGTGGAGGGGGGCAGGGCGAAGCTGCTGCCAGAGGGTCGCTGGGTTGGGACCCAGAGCAGTGAGTGGGCCTAGGGATTCCCCCTTTCCCTTTGCACCATATCTGGCCACCATTGGCGTGTGGCCTAGAAGATCTGTGACTGGCCCCTGGCCTGAGGGGCTGGACTGAGGCTGCAGTTGGCCCGGCGGCTGACCCCGGAAGGGGGTGAGAGACCCCTGGAGTGGGCACTGCCAGGGGTCAGTGTCCTGAAGAGGGCACCGCAGTCTGGGAGCAACACGGGCGCGGAGCAAGAGCATGGAGCCTGGACGGGGGAGACACCAGCAGGCAGGAGGTGCCTTGTTGATGCAAGGGCTAATTCCCAGTGCTACCAGCAGGAGGCGCCGCAGCGGTGAGTCCCTCCCTGTGATGGTGGGCGGGGGCATCTTTGAAACGTTACAGGCAGCCATGGTTGCTGGACATAAAGCTTTTGAAACTTGGCCAAGTAGCCGTGGAACTCCTTGCCACAGGCTTTCTGCTCCCGAAGTCCATAGGCTCGGTCTTTGTCTTGGGCAGCTGGCTAGGAGGAGAGAACTGGGGCTGGTTTGGCCCCTGGCTGGTACGTTACAGCCCCCCTTGGAAATGCATGTTCCCCAGGTGACCCCTAGATGCAGCTCTGACAATGGCGTGGCGAGTGTGACTGCAGTGGCCAAGGTGATGCCAGGGGCCCCGAGGTCGAGGCTTTCTAATCCGAGAGCGCTGATGGGTTCTTGTACCTGCCGTATTGACTGGCTCCCGCTGCCTTCTGAGCAGCTGTGGGGCCCCTGGCATGGCAGCGACCGGGGGTCCCCAGAGAAGGTGTGCCAGGGCCCCCGCAGACTCCCCACCACTGTGGCCAAGAGGAACCCTGGCGCACACCCGGCCTGGGGGGGCAGGCCAACAGGGGCGACATGCATTGAGCCCACCCGAGGATGCAGGGTCTCTCCCCATGACTAAGGCTTCCTCCCCCAGTAACCTGCCCCAGCCCTGCCCCTGGGAGTCCTGCCGAAGCCGGGCCCGGTGCCCCTGGGGTAGCTGAGCCTGGTGCCCTTGGGGTAGCTGAACCCGGTGCCTCTGGGGTAGCTGGGCTCAATTCCCCTGGGGTAGCTGGGCCCGGTGCCCAGGGGTAGCTGGGCTCAATTCCCCTGGATGACTAAGGCTTCCTCCCCCAGTAACCTGCCCCAGCCCTGCCCCTGGGAGTCCTGCCGAAGCCGGGCCCGGTGCCCCTGGGGTAGCTGAGCCTGGTGCCCTTGGGGTAGCTGAACCCGGTGCCTCTGGGGTAGCTGGGCTCAATTCCCCTGGGGTAGCTGGGCCCGGTGCCCAGGGGTAGCTGGGCTCAATTCCCCTGGAGTAGCTGGGCCCGGTGCCCCGGGGTAGCTGGGCTCAATTCCCCTGGCGTAGCTGGGCCCGGTGCCCCGGGGTAGCTGGGCTCAATTCCCCCGGGGTAGCTGGGCTCAATTCCCCTGGGGTAGCTGGGCCCAGTGCCCCGGGGTAGCTGGGCTCAATTCCCCCGGGGTAGCTGGGCCCGGTGCCCCGGGGTAGCTGGGCTCAATTCCCCTGGGGTAGCTGGGCCC